GCCCTCTATTGTGACAACAATGGAGCTATTGCTCAGGCCAGAGAGCCAAGGGAACATCAGGAAGTCAAACATGTCAAACAACGGTTTCACATGATTTGAGAATGGAAATCAGAAGGTGAAATCAGAATTTGCAAAGTTGGAACGGATGACAATGTAGCCGATCCACTTACTAAACCTTTGCCTCAAGTGAAGCACAACAAGCACGTTGAGGCAATGGGAATCGGACATGTAGGAGACTGGATTTGATTTCCTTGTTTAGTGTTTTAGTTAAATTTTGAACATTTAATGTAAGACACTAAGAAAAATCATTCAATTTTTGGAGTAATATAAATTTCATGCAATATTTTATCACTTCGTTTGCTATTTAATTATGATTTAGGATTAAATAATGAGTCCATCTGATTCTTGGAATATTCAAAATAGGGTATCAAGACCAGTCTTGGTAAGGAAACACCTATTAAGTGAACATTGAATATTATAATCGAAAATTATTCCTAATCGAGGTCATTTAAACGATGGATAATTAATGACCAATTGAGATTAGTGTGTAGTCTGATTTATAGCACTGTTTCTTCTGCTACGAGGACATGATTGTCATAAATCATTTGCACATGTATTGGCTTAGAACCATACTGGATCGACCTATGAGAATACTTTAAGAGATTAAAAATCGTCATAAGTATACTTCTCATTATGGCTATCAAAACCTATTTCCTCGACCATGAGTATTGTGAGTTCTCTTGTTTGAGTACTAGTCCGCTTTGATGTTGTCAAAAGTCTGCCGTAATAGGGGATTATAACGGCAACACTCGGGCGGCTAGGTCCTCTCAGTAAGAGGAGCTACATTACAAGACTGGGAATGTCCCCCTACTAAAATAGGGAAGATGTCTTTGTTATATACAAGGCCTCTATAGAGCGAGACTGTAAAAATGCATGGTCGTGCTCGGATGGATTTTAGAAATCATCTATTTATTGACAGTCGGACTCCGAATCAAGAAACACTTCTGGATGTAATAAGGATGACGAAATAATCTTACCTTATAGTTCATGAAGAGACATTAAGTGACATAGAAAAAAGTATGTACACTAAATGCGCACTTGTCCGGAAGGACAAGTGGGAGATTGAAAGGAATGGTGTCCTTCGAACAACTGTACTATTCCGTTAGTGGGTTCAGAATTATTAGAAAGCTAATATATTTAGTAAGGTCAAGTGATCGGAATGTCTAGGTGGAGGCCGCTTCCGATCAGTAATATTAATGCATAATTAATATTACAGCTTAATCTTGACTAAACCCTTCTGGTCACACCTTTTGCAGTAAATGAACCGACTCGACGAATTAATTCGGAAGAAATTAATTTGTCGCCCGAGTATTAAATATTTAGACTTCGGAAATTCGAGCTTAGTGCGTCGAAACCGAGCGTCGGAAGTCGAGTCAGAAATAATAAATGACGAGACGCGCAAATAATAATAAATCACCAATATTTCCCAAAATACCCCTAGCATCAGAGTGCCCCGAGCATCCGAGTGCTAGGGGCAAAAATGTCCTAGCATAGGTGGCTAGCAAGCGCACCAAGACAAGCCATGCACGGCCGGCTGGTGCGTGCTAGCACACCACAGCTAGCAGCGTGCTAGCAGCCGCAAGCATCGCATGCTAGCAGCAACTAGCAGCCACAAGCATGCGTGCTAGCAGCAGCTAGCTGCCGCAAGCCGTGCGTGCTAGCAGTGCACGCACAGGCCCGTGTACTAGGGGAGCAAGTGGGAGTATATGGAAAGTAAGTGGGGTGAAGGACATGTGGCACAAGGAGAGCATTGAGTGGGGAGCAAGTATGGTCCCCTACCCTCCATGTGGTCCTCACCACCCTTTACATATGATAGTGCCACTTGTAGATTTATTATTAGTTTGCTTATTTATTTTAATTTAGCTTTAAAATAAATTGTGGAATTTCATGACTCCCACATTGATGGGATAGAAATTCCCACTCTCCCTCTTGCCTATAAGTACCCATCTTGGGTTTTTGGGAAGAGTGCTTGAGTAGGAGTTCAATAGAGCATTGCATTAGCGAAAACTCTTAATAAACTCACATAATACTCGGGTTTTGGTCGGACCTCGCTAACCTTGAGGTAACGGACCTTAATGTCGATAGTAGTTTTTGCGGGTGGACTTTCGTTAGAGGCTCTCGTGTGAGCGGGGCTAAAGCTTTCAAGTAAGAGCCCGACTTTGAGGGCGAAGCACGCGTCAAAGGTAAATTCCGATTTTATCCTTTTATGTTTATTTGTTATGCTTTATGGTTTTATTAATTGTGAGTGGTTCTTTGGGTCGGGGTTGTTTCCGCAGTAAGTTGGACTTACCAAACCCAACACTTTAATTGTTTTATTGATCTTTGATATAGAAATCATGTTTAGATTATTATATTGATTCCTAGTATCATGTTAGGATGTTTTATTGCTTCCTAGTATCATGTTTAGGGTTAATTAATATTTCTAATATCAAGTATGATTAAAAGAATGCTTCCTATTTTTCTTTCCTAATATCATGTTAGTATCTTGTTAGGGATAAAGCTTTAATCTTTGATGTTTAGTGACATGCTAGGGTTTGTTATTAATCTTGTTAGTATCATGCCTAGGATCTTGCTATTATTATTATGCTTTAACATGATTATATTAATTATGATTTTAATGATTATGATTTATTATGATATTGTTTGATCACGCCTTTTATGCATGTTTAAAGGGGATTTGTACTTGTAATCATGCTTAATAAGATAATTAATAATTTTGTTTAGGTTAATTTGATTATATAATTCAAGTGATCACCAATAATAGTCTTATTTGTGCATTAATATTCAACCAAGATAGATAAATAGGTTTAGGGTAAACCTATTGATTGTACGTTAGTCAGAAAACGTACATGAATACGAGAATAATAAAGTAGAGGCCTATTATTAGGGCAGGTTCAATCTCTTTTAGGTTGGATTTGTACCTTCATCCCCGAACTTCCAGTTTTGCTTCCAGACTTATTGGAGTTAACGATATCGTGGATCGTTAAGGGGTGTAACCTTCACCATGTGAACGGTTTATAAGTTCCTAAAACTTGTTGACGACTCTTTTACTCTAGCTTCCTTTCCTTTGGACACTATCATGCTTAAGTGCATGATCACAATGAGACTCAAGTGTAGGATAACTTGAAATATTCCCTACAGGTGGCCTACTCCAAACGTATTTGGAAAAAGGAAAAACAAAAATAATTTATTTTTTTAGTGGTTTTGGGAGGGATTAAAATTTACAGAATATTCATCAGTACTATCCTCTACGCTGTTGTAATGACCACACATTCCCAAGGTTCTCTTTCTTTCCTACCTGAATCAAACACAACCTTCATCAAAATAAGTAACTGAAAAACATGGGAACAATAAGCCTTTGCATGCTCACTCCATCGCAAACCAACATTTCAAAGTTCATTTCCAATGATTATCACCTCACAATGCTTGAAAATCAATGCAACGCAATGCATGACCTTAAGAAAATCCATGCCCACCTCGTAAAAACCGGCTTATCTAAGCATCCAATAGCCATTAGTCGTGTATTAGCTTTTACTGCTACATCCCCTGCAGCTGACATTAACTATGCTTATTCGATATTCTCCCGTATCCATAATCCAAACCTCTTTATGTGGAATGCCATTATTCGGGGTTTCTCCCAAAGCTCAGTACCTCAAAATGCAATTTTACTCTTCATGGACATGTTAAACAGCTCAACAATTGAACTTCAAAGGCTCACCTACCCTTCTCTCTTTAAAGCATATGCTCAACTAGGACTTCCTGACTATGGAGCTCAGCTTCATGGAAGAATAATAAAACTAGGCCTTGAGTTTGATCCGTTCGTGAGGAATACTATCATTCATATGTATGCAAACTCCGGAAGTTTGAGTGAAGCCTATAAGCTCTTTGACAGGGAGGAGGATTTCGATGTGGTGGCTTGGAACTCACTGATCATGGGCCTAGCAAAGAAGAGGGAGATTGATGAAGCAAGGAGATTATTTAACAAGATGGGGTTGAAGAGAAATGCCATCTCGTGGAATATTATGATAAGTGGGTATGTAAGGAATGATAAATTTACGAAAGCTATGGAGCTTTTCGAGAGGATGCAAGACGAGGGGATCAAGGCATATAAATTCACAATGGTTAGCTTATTAAACGCTTGTGCAAATTTGGGATCCCTTGGACAAGGAGATTGGATATACCATTATACAAGTAAGAACAGATTTGAGTTTAATGTCCTTATGACTACTGCAATTGTGGACATGTATTGCAAGTGTGGTGCCATCAACAAGGCACGTCGATTCTTTGAGAAGGCTACTATCAAAGGATTATCAAGTTGGAATTCTATGATTTTTGGCTTAGCCAATAATGGGTGTGAAGAGGAAGCGTTCCAGTTATTCTCACAGCTTATCTCCTCGTCTGAGCCTAACGATGTCACTTTCCTTGGAGTTTTGACAGCTTGTATAAACAAGGGTGATGTCAAACAAGCCAGAGAACTTTTCTTGTTAATGTCTGAAAGATACAAACTTAAGCCATCAATTAAGCATTACAACTGCATGGTTGAAGTGTTAGGTCAAGAAGGCTTTCTAAATGAAGCAGAGCAGCTAATAAGAGAGATGTCAATAGAAGCAGATGCTATCATATGGGGATCGTTGCTCTCTTCTTGTAGGAAGCATGGAAATATTGAGATGGCAGAACGGGCAGGAAATTATATCCGTGAGATTGACCCTAATGATAGTTCTGCATATATACTTGTGTCTAATGTCTATGCAGCCTCAGGTCAGTTTAAACAAGCCATCAAACAGCGAATTGAGATGAAAGAGAAGCAAGTTCTAAAAGAAAAGGGATGTAGTTCCATTGAAATCAATGGAGAAGTTCAAGAGTTCACTTCTGGTAGAATGTCAAACCCTGAAGTTCAAGATCTAATGAACCTTCTATATACTCCCCATGATGATGAAAAATTGACTGAAGAAGTGAATTTATAAAATTTGAATCAACGTACTCTTTATTACAAGCAAAAAATATATATATATGAAAGTTACATTTGTACATGAATGTGGAAGAAGAATAAACTTTTAACTCATTGGTTTTAGCAGTCACTTTTCCTACTTTTCTCACATTGATTGGGATGCCTGCTTACTTGGTTTCTGAAAGTATCACTTTCTGTCAGCCACAACCAATGCCTTTTCTGGCTCCTTTTCTTCTTCATCTATTACAGCTCGTTTTTCTGGCTCCACTTCCTGTTCTGTTGGTGAAAGTTCTTCAAATTTGGTTTCTGAGAGTTGCCTATAGTATCGCAGTATCACTAAGGCAATGAAAGCTGCAAACAAAAGACAAAAAAAAAAGATGAAGTTCAATAGATGCCCTAGCAGCTGAACAATGTAACAATAATTATCAACACATGTTGATGAGGTAGATAACAAACAGCAGAGCATATGCTACACTATACAATCAAGTTTAAGAAATCAAATCTTGAAATTTACACTATGCGTTTATTTCAAAGAGTTGCTTATAAAGTTTTGGGAATTGATTTGTTCTAATGTTCACAAGCATAATTTGACACCACCACCCAACTGAATGCTGATTGTATTTGAAAAGCAATCTCTTAAACTGTTAGGCAGCCCAAAATGTGGTTGCCAGATACCAAAATAGGGACAAGTGCATTAGAATTAGGTCACCCAGCCATGGAAAAATCTGAGGAACCTGCTGCTACTCAATCATCCTCATATTTCGCATATTTTTTTCTTTCTCTTATCTAAATACAGATTATTTTGTTATAAGTGGCAACAGTAGCAGAACAGAAACTTATCAGATAGAATACTCCTTGACTGAACTACTAATCTATATCACAGAGTACTTCCAAAAACCCAAGCCTGAGTAAAAACTGGCAATTTTAAATTTTTTGCATTAATCATGCTTCCATTAGCTACTTGGTTTTATGACTTATCTCACACTTGACAGCTTTTGAATTCAGTGTTTTTCCCTGTTTCAAAAGCTTTTTTCCAGATAAAATCTCGAAGTTCAAATATGTAGTCAATGCCACAAAGCTTAGTAGCCTCTCAGCTTGTTATCGAAACCTGACAGGACCTCAACAGGAATATCAGCTCAGTTAAACATTATGCCGGGTAAAGCAATGAAACGAAAAATGGCTCTACTCCTAATTTAGGTGGTTTATATAATGTGAAACCAACAAGTGACCAATTTGAACAAAATAGTTTTTACATCAAGCAGGTCATTTACAGGGAACAAACTCAAATGATTACTCAACATAGCACATGTGACTTTATATTCTTGCTACGAATGTTGTGCCTAATACAAGATAAGAGGCATCACCTGCAATGATTCGGGTTTTGACACTTGACAGACTCCAGAAGGCTGTAACTGCTGATGCAGCTACAATCTTCTTGTGGTTACACGCTCGCCATGCTTCAAGTACCCTTGACTTGCATTGCTCAGCTAGTGAATAAAAAAAAAAATTCTGTCAATGCCTAAATAACAACAATTCTCTTGTTAATTAAAGGGCAATCTTTTCTTTTTCTTTTTTCCTTTTTTTTATTAGTACCTTTTCTATCTATCTGAGCAGCATATGAGAAATATAGCTTCGGGGCCGTAAAGCTAGTTAAAAATCCTGCAATTTAGGATAAAAACTCAACTAAGGTATCTAATATAATTGCAATTCAAGGAAAACTATACGGCGTTAAATGCTTGTACCAAGTGCACAAAGTCTCCAAAGTGTTAAAAGGTGACCATAAGCCGAGCCAACCAAGAGTAACAAAGCTACCTGTATCATCATAGCAAATGTGAATGCCTAAAGAAACATCTGAAAACAATGAAAATTTCCAAATAATTTGGGTAGTTGAGTAAAAACTAGAAAGTATTTGTAATTATAATTTACTTTAAGGGTCATTGATGGCTCTCCAGAGAAAAGCTCTCTTGTTTTCGAAATAACAAGGTTAAGAGCTGGCAGCAGCACTCTAATTACTCTCAATATGTCATCCTCTTTCAAGCTTACTTCCACATTTCTTGGCGTGCTTTCCCTACATAAATGACAACATTTTAGATAAGTAAACGTAGTACTAGTAATTTTTTGTGTAATTTTCTAAATTAAATTGCATTATTTACGGTTTTACCTTTGATGCAAAGAATTTGTTGTGAATGATGCTGCCAAAAGTAGAAGACCAAGTTGGGAGATCACTGAGAAAAGGCTATAAAAAACACAATTATAATGTGTTAGTTTGCTGAATGATATTCTAAACCCGTAAATTACACTTCAAATTGCGAAGCAAATGATGACATATAGTTTATACCCAATTAACAATAAAATTATAAACCATTTTGAAACATAACTAATTAACTATAATCAATTAAAAATATTAAAAAATTTGTTACCTAATGTTTAGTCCCTTAGTAAAGGAAGAAGATAAGATACAAAGACACCCAAAACCAAACCAAAGGGTTGATTTAGCAACATCTCTCCACACAATCAATTCCCATATTATCTGTCCAAGATGATCCAATGCACATTCTTCTCCAACATTGCCTTCTAATTCACAAAACCCAATTGATAAATTTAATAATTATACAAATTACAAAAGAGAAATAAAAAAGATAAAGAAAAGGGGAAGTTAATTACTTGAAGGAGTAAGAGAAGGAAGTGAAGCGATCTTCTCTTTCTTAGACTTTCCACTAATTCTTCTTCTTCTGGGTTTCACAACTTCATCAACACCAACAATTTCTCTTTCCTCAGTATCAATCATCTTTCTCCTTGATCTCCTAAGATTACGAGGCGAATAACAAGCAGGTAACCCATTAGAGCTAGTCCTTGTCTTACACCGCCTCCTATGTTCAGTAGAATCATCCGCTGTTTCGAGACGGTCTGAAAGCCGGGTTCGGGACTTCCGCACAGGGGAAGGAGAAAGAAGCAGGTGTTCATGAAGAGGGAGGAAGTTTTTCGGCTTATTAATTGATGGTTTTGAAGGTGTAGATGATGGCGTCTTTTGACGCTTCGGCGATGACGGAGAAGGAGCATATTCTACTGAAAAATGGGGAATTTGATTATCTGTATCACTCCCATAATCTGGGTTATTAGCCATTAAAGCTAATCTTGAAGCTGATTTAATTTTGTGGGTTGGCTCTGATTTGTGATATTCAGGAGGTGTAACTGATTCCATTGATGTTGAGAGGTTTGAATGTTTGATTGTTTGTAAAATTGGAAAATTTTTGATGAGATTTTATTTTGTTGGAGTTAAAGATTGAAGTATTTTTGGGGTTTAAGAACGTCAATTGGAGTAGCCGTTGGGGAGACTGGAGACATGGACGAATGTCTCCTTTTCTTTTTTTCTTTTTTTTTTTTTTTGAAATACCTTTTCTTTTTTTCTTTATTGCTTTTTAGAATTATTTATTTATTTTTCTTTCAAAAAAAAAAAGAATTATTTATTTATTTATTTGAATAGTTTGACGGCGGGATGGGAGAATTAGATCAAATGTGATGTGAAGCTCACGTGATTAACGGTCAGAAATTGGATGGCTTTGGACTCTTATAAATTTATCATTTTTGCATACCATTGTAGACACCTATTTGTGACTCCCCAAAACCAAATCAAATGATAAGTATCTTCCACGTCGAATCATAATTGAATGAAGTGAAAGTGTGGAAAGTCTAGAGTTGCGGTTAGTTTTTAATTCTTTTCTTTCTCTTTATTTTTGAAAACCTATTTTGAGAAAACAGTCAATCTAGTTTGGTTTGGTCCATGTCAAGGGTCCAATAATAGTGTAGTTGGGTCGGGTACAAAAAGAATTTTCCAACAATATATTATAAACCCAATTCCGATGAATAATGAGGAAGTTATGGCCAAATTACTTAACTGGGTCCGGTTTGATCTTTATATGCGGCCCAATGATCTAGAGAAGGGCCTATTATTGATTTATCATTCCTAATGCGATTAGGATTGATTATAGTCTTCTAGAATCTTCTAGAAAGTTCTTTTGAATCCTAATTTGATTAGCATTGATAAATTGACTTTTAAGAGTTTTATTTAGAATAAAAGAAGTGTTTTTAAGGAAAATATGATTCTACCCTCTTGTACGCATAAATTTTATCAAAATAAGAAAACGCGTGGAAAACTGATTGCAGCGCCATACGACACGTCTGTCGCCTGGCGACACGCGCGGCGTCTGGCGACAGGCGCGTGTTTGGCGACAACGTCGTGTTTTATTGTTTTCGAAACTCTGATTCGTTTTTTATCTAATCTGGCTTATTTTCTCTATAAATAGCCTCCTAAAACCTCCGTTTCCAATCATCAATTCTCAATTCTTCTCATCTAATTCTTATTACCAACTCTCATCAAGAAACTCTTGATATATTCTCTCTCTCTCTCTCTCTCTTTTCTAAACTAGCTTTTCTCAAACAAAATTCCGCATTCACAAGATCTAGCACACCTAGCCAAGTTCGAAGTTACCTTCGACCTATACGTGAAAGGTTTAATTTCTGAGGGTTTGGTCTCAAATCTCTCTTTCAATTATTTAATTTAATTGTTTTAATTTTATATTTTCCTAGAAGTTACTAACGTGTGTATTTTGTTATTAGAAAGAGATACAAAGCATCCAAGTAAGTGTTTTAATTGTTTGCATTGATATTATGATATAGAAAACATGTCTAGGTTCCTATTTTGATTCCTAGTATCATGTTAGGATGTTTTCCTTAATTTGATGTTTTGAATGACAACAATGATTCCTAGTATCATGTTTAGGGAAAAGGATATAATATCAAATATGCTTATTATGATTCCTACAATGTTTCCTATTTTCTTTCTTAATAGCATGTTAGTATCATGTTAGAGCTAAATATTTGATCTTTGATGTTTAGTGACACGCTAGGGTTTGTTATTAATCTTGTTAGTATCATGCCTAGGATCTTGCTATTGTTATGCTTTAACATTGTTATAATTATTATTATGATATTTATTTTTATTATTATATTGCTTGATTTTTATTGTTATTGCTTGATCACACCTTTTATGCATGTTTAAAGGGAATTGGTACTTGTAATCACGCTGAATAAGATAATTAATAATCTTGTTTAGGGTTAATTTGATTATAATTCCAGTGATCGCCAATAATATTATGTTTGTGCATTAATATTCAACCAACATAGATTAAAAAGGTTTAGGGTTAACCTATTGTTTCCATGTTAGTCAGAAAGCACACATGAATACGATCAGAATAAAGTAGAGGCCTATTATTAGGGCAGGTTCAATCTCTTTTAGGTTGGATTTGTACCTTCATCCCCGTACTTCCAGTCATGGTTCCAGACCTATTGGAGTTAACGATCTCCTAGATTGTTAAGGGCTGTAACCTTCACCCCGTGGACGGTTTACAAGTTCTTAAAACTAGTTGGCGACTCCTTTGATCTAGCTTCCTTCCCTTTGGACGCCACCATGCTTAAGTGTATGAACACAGTGGGGTTCAAGATTGGGGTAATGCTTGAAATATTCCCTGCAGTTTTTGGCGACTTCACTGGGGAGGATTTCTATTTTAATTCCTGAAATTTATTTCGGCAATGATTTAGAATGAGTGGATGAGACTCGAAAAGTTCTAAGTATTTCATGTGCGTATTTTTATTAACATTATTGTCATATGCATAAAAAAGATCTCATTTGAAACACCATTAGTAATGAGTTAAAACATAGGATTTTTACACGTAGGAAATTTGAGAAATATCTTTCACAACTAGGATCGAAATAATGCTGCGAAAAACTGGAAAATTTTATCGAACACAGAAAGCTACTGAGGTGTAGACATCTACTTTTGGCCTCCTGTCCCGACAGGAATTGCAATGACGATAAATAAAGCCATCTTCGTGTTGGATCAAAGTGAAGAATACTTATGGATAACTGGTTAAGCCCCAAAACACAAAAGACTAGCCCAAATTAAAGAAAAGCCAAAACAAAGGTCCAATTAACTAAACCCGATCATAATTAGGCTTAAGCCCGTGCTTAAACCCTAACAACGACGGATTTAGGAGCGCCTAGTTTAAAACATAGTGCTGCCGCAGAAAAAAGCCGCGCGCATCTCACAAAGTCGCGTTGGGCTGCCGCGCGCAACTAATTCAGTTACGCGAGACACCCAGCGCAACTTTCAGAGTTGCGTTATGGAATATTTGTAATTATTCAGAAATTAAACGGAAAATATAAAATCGAATCTTACCATAAAGCCGCGCGCAAAACCAATAGTTGCGCTGCACAACTTTATAACTTGCGTTGGGATGCCGCGCGCAACTTCATCTATTGCGCGCGACACTTACTGCGGCAGAAAGCTCGAAACCCTAAACCTAATCCTTCTCTATAAATACGAGCTTAAATTGAGGCTTCAACAGACAGAAATTAACCTAAAACTCTGGCGAAATAACTTGTGAACTTGTGCAACCTAGCCCTCTTGTCTCAAACACTCACCCTTTCGATACTTTGTTACTACGGTGGAGGTTCCCCAACAAGAAGGTGTCCATAGGTGTTCTAAACAGAGATTTAGCAAAGAGAAGTGGTAAATTCCCGAGCACTTAGTTAAATCACCTTTTTTTCTTGTTTAAAAGGACTTTAATTAATTAATTAGTGTTGTTTGATCACTTTTAAAATAATTAATTAATCAATTCCACATAGTATCTTGCGTTAAATAAAGACTAGAATTGAATCAAATAATTGTTGGTTGATTACCTAAGCCAAGGCGAATCTTGTTTACTATTGTTCCACGAATTTTATTAAATAAGAATAACGACTTTGCAATGTAATTCTTACGTGAATTAATGCTTGTAAATAAAATCAACTAACATAGTTTTAGGTATCGCGTTGCATATATTGTTTGGTGACGAAATTTTCAAAAAGGAAGAGCTACTAGAGGTCGTACTAGGGCTAGGATGACGATTCCCCTCTAAAAGGAACGTTATCTTAGTACCCTCGCTCCCGAACTCATTTCTGGTTTATAGACCAATTTGGGCATGGGTAAACTTATGATTTGTGCTAATTATTCCATGAACTCTACATGGAAGAAAGGCATGAACGAGGTTTATGAGTTTTTCCTAAAACTCATTGGCGACTCTTACTTGTTTCTTATAGAAAAGCGTGATGATAGAATTAATTCTAATTGAAGGTCCCCCAAACAGTCAGGAATTAAAATCCTACTACACCTTAACAAGTGTAAAGTCCTAGGCTTTTAAGTGGCCAAGGGCATTTAAGGAGAGTACCTCTTGCGATAGGATCACCCTCCTTACAGTGGCGACTCCGCTGGGGACTTAGAGGTTACATGATTAATTCGTAGTATGGTCCAAGGTATCCAACACTAGGTTGCCTATGGGTTGTAACAAGAATTAACTTGGATAATCTCTAGTTAGAGAGCGAGACTTGAACGCATAATATCTTCCTTTTGCACAAAAGTAAAAACCAAACAAGCAACATTGCATCATGTATAAGCATAGCACACTTAAACCATTGGGGATTGGCTCATTGACTAGGGGTCGCCAACACTAGGCGTCTATCCCAAAATCAATAACAATCATCCCACCCATATCACCAACAAAATGTTGGGAGGGCGATGTCATGGGTCAACACGTTGAGTGATTGATTTATGCATCGTTTCTTTAGGTGTGGTACCTTTGGACACCTAAGAGTTTTTTTACCTTAGAATGGCATTGCGTGAATCTTGACTTATAACATGCTTATGTGATTATGTGACTATGTGCAACGTGTTAGGATAATCTTCTTTTTTTTTTTAGTTTGGTCTAGGTTCCCAATTACAAAGTTGTCTCTTTGTGATTTAGCGTCACAATTAAAGGATAACATAAAAAAAAGGGTCAAATAAAAAAAAATCGAATTAAAAAAAATACTACGAGCAGGTGGCGCGCACAACTCAAGAAGTTGCGCGACCCCTCCCAGCGCAAGTTATTTTGCTGCGCGCGACAGTCGCGCGCAACTTAGTAACTTGCGCGCGCCCACTGGACGAGTCAGTTTTGATTTCTCAAAAAAGAAATTGACTCGTCCGAATAATATCTTCATTGAAGAATTGTTAAGGGCGATGTTATCCGTTAGAGTATATTTTGCGTCTTTTTTCTTTTTTTTTTTTCTTCAAAAGCAAGCGTATCGATTTACTTAACCTTTCATAGTCCTTTAGGGCCGGTTTTCATGCTTGGGAAATAGGACCCCCGGCCACTCGCATTCTACGTTTATCATCCAAAGATCAACCCCTTTCAAACCACTTTCATTCGACAACTAATCCTAGTCCACAACAATGACAACTATCGAAGAACTTCAACAAGTGATTCTTCGTATGAGAGAGGAAAAGGCTCAAGAGGCCGAGGAGAGGAGAATTAAGAAGATGGAAAATGCTGAAAAGAAAAAAGTTGAAGCATTAGAATTACAAGAAAAGATGGAGCAATTATCCATCAAAGAAAAGTCGTTAGAGAAGCTAGTTCTTCGTTCTACAATGGGGAACAAGTACTTTGACGCAAAAAAGTTTGCTCCTCCCCCAGGACTTACTTTACCAGAAAAGTTCGTAGCTACGAACTTGCCAATATTTAAGGTGACCAATAATCCACAAA